AGGAGCAGGTTGATAAAACCGTGGCATGACAAAACCGCGCTCGACTAAAGCGCGCCCGATTAAACCGCGTCGCTGACGTCATCAACATGGCGACAAGAGCGAGCGCGGAGAAAGAAGGGCGCTTTAAATAGCGCTTTAAAAGCAAGCCGATTCAAGTTAAGGTAAGGGTTAGGTTTAGGGTTAGCTTTAGGGTTAGGTTTAGGGTTAGGTTAAGGGTTAGGGTTAGGTTTAGGGTTAGGTTAAGGGTTAGGTTTAGGGTTAGGATTAGGTTTAGGGGGGTTAGGTTTAGGTTTAGGGGTTAATTTTAGCTTTAGCTTTCACAGCGTGCTTTTTTCTCTGCGCTGTTGTCGCGCTGTGATGACATCAGCTACGCGGTTTCGTCGAGCGCGCTTTAGTCGAACACGGTTTTGTGGTGGAACCGGTTACTATAGGTAGTCCTCAACTTACAACAGTTTGTTAGTGTCCATTCAAAGTTACAGCAGCACTGAAAACAATGACCTATGACCGTGTTTCACACTAATGACCATTGCAGCTTTTCCCTTGGCCATGTGATCAAAATTCAGATGCTTGGCAAGTGACTCATATGTATGATGGTTGCAGTGCCCAGGGTCATGTGACCACCTTTTTGATATTCTGGCAAGCAAAGTCGATGGGGAAGCCAGATTCACTTAACAACTGTGTTACTAGCTTAACAATCACAGTGACTCACTTAACAGGGCAAAACTCATTTAACAGATGTCTCACTTAGTAACAGAAGTTATGGGCTCAATTGGTCATAAGTTGACTACCTTTGTTTGGCTTCTGGGTGCAATTTAGGTGCTACCCCCTAGTGGCATAGGACTAAAGAATTTTGAAATAATATTTGTCCTCTGTAGTTTCTATGTATTCAGTGAGGATAGGCAAAATGGGTGCACCTCTGATCCAGTGGTGGGTTCCGGATCCTGTTGCAACCGGAACGCTGTGACAGGGCCAGGCGTCCAACACGTGCACGCGCGCTGCATGCGCATGCGTACTCACCGCCCACAATGCTCCAGCTGCTCGCCGGAGCATCCAGGCACTGTACGCTGCGTGCACATGCACAAATGGCCGAGTTGGGTCAAATACAGCTAAGAAACGCGTGTGGGCGTGTGGGCCCTCCGAAGCATCTTGCCATTACAGTGCCTGCTGCTCCCAGCAGGCACCGGTACGCCCGTACTGGGGTGTACCGCCCGGAACCCACCACTGTTCTGATCCCAATAATCAAAACAGTGTTATTTAGTGGGATCCGGTAATATGCCTTCTTTGTCACAGCTCTTGCATCTGGTATATCTCCCCAGAGATCTGGATGGTTCCCATCCTGGTGACCAGAGAGCTACTAAAAATCTGCTTATCTTCCGAGGCCTTGGATCATGGTGAAGGTTGAGTTTGGGTTGGCTTTGGTTACTTTGAGATCATGATTTCTGTTTTGTTCTTTTACCTTTTTCTTTTTAAAATGTTTTTAATTGTAAGTTGCCCAGAATCATTGGAACTAGAGCAGTGTATATAAATTGTATACGTCAGTCTAAATTTTTGTAACCCTGCTATTGTAACTCTTGGCTTGAAATTATGGAAGTTGTGTAATCTAGTAGATTTGAGGACACTAAGCTAAGGAAGGAAAGGAAAACATTGTATTGAAAGCTTGAATAGGAAATAGCTAAACATCAGAAGCAGACATCTTGCTGTAAATGCAACCAGGAATAAGAGTTCCTCTGTTGGGACTGCCTCAAACATCAGTCAGAGACAGACTCTTTCCCAACTTAATAGAATTAGAAAGAAAGTTCTCACTGTCTAATAAGCAAGAAGTCTGAGCAAGAGTTTAGAGGAAGGGAAAGTAAGATCAACAAAGAACTGATGAAGCAAATAGAAAAGAAACTGCAGCAGTTAGGGTTAGGGTCAAGGGACCAGCAGGTGAAGCATTGCTACTTCCTTCTCCAATTTGGTTGTGCCATTAGCTGCCTAGAAAATCCCTACTGACATACCTGGAATTTTCTGATGATTTTTGGCATGGTGATTTGGTACTAAATTTGCAATAGTGTAATTCTGATTAATTGACCCATGGTTTTCATTATTAGTTATTATTTGCATAGATAGAGATAGAGATAGAGATAGGTAGATAGATATATTTGTTTTCATAGATTTTCACGGGTACAGGTATACAGGTTTTGGTGTGTTCGGGTCTTTTCATGCCTTTGCTTGCACAGGCACGAGGCCGAAAACACCAGCCTGAGGATGACGAGTGGGATCTCATCGAATTGTCGCCAAGATACTTTCAATCTTACACGGGGAAAGACCTGAATACACCAAAACCTGTGTGTGTGTGTGTGTGTGTGTGTGTATGTGTGTGTTTGAAGCACAATTATGTTTTAATAAACAAATAAAAAATAGCGCAAGGAAAAATACTATCCTACAAGACCTAACTTCAAAAATACCATAAAACACATATTACTTCATTTATTAAAATTTATTTTCATTTCAGTTTATTGTATTACATTGCTGCAATGCAGGCTTAATATTAGATATTCCATTTAACTTTTTTGTTATAGCAAAAATCAATTTTATGTACCATATAATGAACATTACTTTACTCTTTTCTATTTAAAAAAAAATCCAGAGCTTAAATACTGAGTGCTTAGTAGAATCAATTCACTAGATGGCAGAGTTTACCAACTCTTTGAAGATTTCAATCTTCCTTGTTATATATCCTAAGGATTGTTCTGCTAAATTTTTCCAAAGAAAATTATGATGAAAAGAAGGTTTCTCCTTGATATGTCACCTCATGTAAAACTTTTTGCTACTTTGGAGATATTTCCCGCCAAAATATTCTTACCTGAAGATTTCTTTGTTCCAATCAACAAACCACATTTTGCAAAGCTGAGTTGAAAGTAATAGAAATATTTGATTAATTAACATGGTAGTAAAACATGCGGAGCATGACTTCTTGCATTCTTTTCAACCCCTTAATGATTCCATTTTGGTTCTCATGATCAGAGTGATTTGGGCTAATTCTGGATTAGTGAGCAGCATTTCTGTTCAATTGCCATTCTAAAAGAGGGAACATTTTCTGGATTTTTTTCCCATTTCCATTTGCCCAAACAGACTAATTTTTATAGTCCAACTTTATTTTGCTGGCTTCTTCTCCCATACCAAATTTGATGTTGTGCTATTCAGACAGTCTGCTGATGGACAAACAGACAGAATTGTTTTGTAACATTCCATTAAGTTAAATAGAAAACAAAATATCAGGAATGATCAGGCATGGGCATATAATATCTGACAAGATTGAAGTTAGAACTAACTATAGGTTTGCGTTTTGCAATATGAAAGAACAAAATAGAAATTGAAGTGCTGCATTAATTTAAAATAATTAACTAAAAAAAAGCAACTTTTATCATAAAGACAGTAAAATCATAACTACAGCAGTCAGTCGTATACAATTCAGTTAAGTCCTGTAAGAAGAAATTCAGAAGCTTGTAAGTGCCCAGACACATTGCATTTTTGTTTGATAGGTATGTAAGGTATGCATTTATTTATTTTAGAGGGCCACCCAAATCCAGAAGTACATAGATGGCATGCAATGTCAAAAGCAATAAAAATCAAAATAGTTCCTGAAAATAGAAAAATAGCTGGATAGAGAGAGGCAGTGTCATGGCTTCTACATTTCAAAGCTGTTTCATCAAAAGTGAAAGATCTTCAGAAATAAGCTGACTGTTCACTAAAGATACCTTAGAACTGTTGAAGCACTAGCAGCTTCTAAAAATAATTTGACATAATGTGGAGGCTTAAGATTCTTGAGAGAAGAAAATCTGGACAGATTCAGGAATAACCTGGGGAGTCATTGGTTAGAGTTTCATTGGAACCTATGAATAGTGATGGAAAGTAAATAGTGAACTCTGCCCTTTGCCTTCAAGCTGTGATGGAAAACTCAGTTCAAATAGAAAGTAGCTTGGGGCTCTATCTTCTAATGTCATCTGTCCCTCAGAAACATGATGAAAAGTAGTTTGCAACCAACCAAACAGCAGACTCTTTTAATGCCAAGAGCAAAAATATATTTTATGAAACAGTTGCAAGCATCTGATAGAGCTTAATTTGAGTATATGCTGTTTCATTCTATACATCATCTTCAGATTAGATTATCTCCCCTTCGATCCAAGCTCTACCCCTGCTCTCTTTATGGCACACCAAATGTTTTTTCTTCTATAATTTGCAAGGGGATTGCCATTATGTTCTTCCATTTTTCCCCCATATGGCATTATCTTTTTTTCATGCTTTATCCCATATTTTCTGCCATTTTTTGATTACCCGGTCGAACCTAAAATTGGGACTTTGCAAACACTTTTATCTTTGCAGTGATAAACTGAAGGGAACAGCTTTGGTTTTAACTAGCCTTCTAAATATCAGTAGGTCTGGCAGACTTCCCTACAAATGAAATTTCATTAGGTTGATACTGCCATGGGAAAGTTCTGCGAGTGCTTCCCATCATCAACCGAACTTCTTTAAATTGTGGAATCTAGATTGGGCTTGCCTTATGCAGACAGAAAGGATAGTGTACAGCATTGAGGAAGAGACCAACAACAAACTGAGGAAATTTCTATAATTCAGTGAATTGAATTATCTTCATAATCTAAAGAACTGATGAACATAAACTGCCTAATAACAGCTTTTTAACTACCCTATAGGCATTGTGGTGAGTAATTTCATGCTCTTGCTTAAGTTTTCAAAAAACTTTAAACACATTGCCTTTTATATAATTCCATTTAATATTCCAGCTTCTCTTAAAGCAAAATTTTAATCTATTTTTCAGCTACTTTGACATGCCTGATCTGCAGGAAAGACAGCAACCTACTCAGGAAAGACAACAACCTCTGATTCCAACACAAAATTCACAGTATCCTTATGGTATCTCAGTGGATTCAATATCTTCGTCTACATTGCCAGCTTCATTTAAAAAGGTAAGATTCAATTAAAAGTATTTGTACTACATTTTATCGTAGAAAGAAAATCATTGAATATATTCTAAATTCTGAAATAACTTGTTTTAACAGAAACAAAAGAAGCCATTTTTTCATTTGCATAATACAAAGTACGAAAAATTATTTTTCTGAGTTACATATACAGGAAATTTTAAAAATGTTTTTTCTATTTTTTCACAGAAATAAATTATTGTGATAGATTTAGATGGAGGAATTGGTATATTTTCCTTCTAATGCCTATTCTTATTCAGCCCCATGAAGTTAATTGATTGGGTTGCCTTAAATCTGTACTGTATATTGGAAAACATTTTTTTTTGTATTCATATCATGTTATTCATATAGATATGTCAGAGAGTAAAAAGGCAAAAAGAGTACCAATTATTTCTCTTCTAGTATGGAAACTGAGTGTGCGTAATTATCTTATAGGTAAGGTTGTACGATCGTTTTCTTGTTACAATGTTTAATCTTCACATAAATAATATTTATATCATAGACTGTGAGCTGAGCCAAACTGACTACTTCTCCTAAGCGCTGCTTGGAGTGTCCAAGCATGGGTTAACTTCAGCTTGCTGCCCAAGGACTAAGTTTAAATCTTTAGTGTAGCCACGCCTTCTGCTCCCTTAGGAGGTCAGTTTGAAAAACTCAGTCGCCCTAAAAGGATGTATTTGGGATTTCCAGTCCTTGGATAGCAAGCTGGATTTCTCTTAATTAGTTTAGTGTAGCCTTTTTTATTTTTGTTTCCACAGTTGTAACTTTAGATAGACCTAGATTTTATTGTTTTTACCCTTGAAAGAAGTTATTTTGCCTAATTAGCTTTCCTCACGCGCGGACCAGACTGCTTGGAGCGTCCCAGCCTCCCGTGCCTCCACGTTGTTTTGGCAGGACTGGGAGGCTTGTCAGCGGCCACTGGCGAGCTTAGGGGCCAGTAGGGAAGTCAGGAGCCCCCTGCGAGCCATTGGAGGACCCCTCTTAGTTCCGGAGGCTCTACTGAACACTCCGGATCACTGATGGCAGCACGGTGTCGCTGCAAGCTTGCGGCGGCCATTTTGGGAGAGAAAAAAGCATGCGCTTTAAATCCAAGCTGCTTTTTTCTCCTTGTCTGTGCTACAGCCTGGTCCCTTAGGAGATCACCGCTGGGAGGGGTGTTGGTCAAGTAGCCTTGCTCTGGGTCTCCAGGCAGGCCTCCCCCTCCCCTGAAAACCTTGATTGGAGGCTACAGGGAGTTTGGCTTTCCAGGCCATGCCCTGTATTCTTATTACCAGTGTGGATCTGTAACCACCCTAAGAGCTTCCTCTTGGCACCATTTTGTTGCTGCATCACCTGCTGGAGTCGTTGCCTCAGAAATTCATCACAACTTGAGACTCCATTTTCTCCAAGCAACCTTTTCTGGATAACGAGGTTTGGGAGCTAGAAGCTCCACCATGGCCAGCAGAGTGTGGAGAAGGTTGCAGAGCAGGCAGGGCCTACCATTAATAAGTGCAGCAGGCCAAATCCAAGGCAAACAGCCAAGACAAGGAAGGTGTCCAAGGCAGAAGAGAGGCTGGCTGAGAGGCCCCAGAGAGCCCTAGAAAAACAATTTCAGAAGGCTCAGACCAACCAGGGGCTTGAAAAGGATCTCCCTCCACCTGCTGAGGTTCCTGCTAACCCCTCCATTTTACATCTTCCAACAGAAGAATCACCATCTGTAGTAGAGGAAGGCGATTTTGGGTTCTCTCCTAACCCCTCTAGGGCATCTCCCAGGTCCTTGGCCTCGTCTCTAGAGGAGGAATACATGGAGGAGGCTTGTTCCCTGTTGGAAGAGGAAACTCCTCCTCCTGGACCTGTAGCTAGGGATTTCCCCAAGAACCAAAATTCCACTCCTGAGCTATCCCTAGCTATGAAGGAGGTGGTTGCAAGGGCTATCTCTCAGGAGATTGCTGATGGTATCCAGCAAGTGGGCCTCACCTTATCTCTCACAGGCCGAACCAAAGCCAAAGGGAGGGTTGCTGATTCCTACAGCAAGCAGGCAGGGCCTCCCCTCCTGCCTCCTCTGTCATCAGCGAAGCATCTGATGCAGAGGAGGGCAGTCAGGATGCCCCAGATTTGTCAGAGGACAAGAATCCACCCCCCCGACGTTCCCGCTTTCTCAAGGTTATTCAAGCCCTCTATGTTTTGGGCCATTCTTACCAAGGCTAGGGCCTCCTCTATTCAGATGGGGCTTCCTGCGCAATCTGATAAGAATTCTACCAAACAGGGCAATAAATCAACTACTTGGATCTTAGGATCTAGGTGCAGGGCTTTTCAAAGAAACCACCCCTCCTCAGGAGCTGGTCCCAGCTCCCCAGTTATTCTGGACATTATACAACACCAATGGACCCAGCCAGGCTCCATGGCTAATCCCAGTGGGGTGGATAAGAAGCTTTATTCTATGGAAGCTGGCATGGAGAATCTCCTGAAGCTTCCCCAGGTTGTGGACCCCATAGTGGCCCTAATCTTGAATTTAGTCCTCCCAGCTGAATTGCTGGAAGGACTCAAAGCTGAGGACAAGAGGGCGGACAAGGCTGCCACAAAACTCATATGGCCACAGCGTGGGCCACGAAGGCTTCCTCCTTCTCTTTCTACTTCAGTAGGGCGGCCCTATTTTGGCTGCGCAAATTGCTGTACAATCTCCCGGCTGACGACATTAGGTTGTGCCAAGATGTGAACAAAATAATTACAGCGATTGAGTATTCGGCCGACGCTTCGCTTAACGCCACCAAATTCTCAGCTAGAACCCTTGCCTCTAATGTGAACTCGCGTCGCCTGATGTGGCTCCATCACTGACAGGCAGACATGAAGGCAAAGTGGGAGCTTGCTTCTGCTCCATTCAAGGGCGGCAAGCTTTTTGGGGAGGCCTTGGACTCGGTTTTAATTGAGTCCAAGGATAAGCGCAAGGTCTTGCCGGCTGTTACCAAAAAGCCGGACTGGAAAGGGCAGTTGTTTTATTGTAAGCAGCCCTTTTGTAATGCAGATGCCCCTTCTTCCTTGGGGGGGATACACCAGACTTTACGCCCAGATGCAGGACCGCTCCCACAAGAGGTTTTCATTCAGGGACAAAAATAGGCAGCAGGGAAACTGCAGGGCCTTCAAGGGGGGTATTCCAATCGCCCCTTTTGGTGGACTAAGTGACCATCACCAGTCCCCTCCCATTGGGGGCCATCTACAGTTGTATGCCGAACAATGGGAGGAGACAACGACAGATGCTTGGGTTCGAAACATGGTTCAATACAGTCTGACCCTAGAGTTTCTTTCGATGCCCCACAGACTTTCATCCACTGTCCCCTTTCCAAATCGCCCCTCAAATGCCATCTGATGCAGGCGGAGAGCAGACATTTGCTGGAGATAGCAGCCATTGAGCAGGTTCCCCTGGGCCAGGAGGGCAGGGGTTTTTACTTGATCCTCTTCCTGGTCCCCAAAGCATCGGTGTGGGGGATGAGAACAATACTGGACCTCAAGAAGTTCAACATCCACCTAGCGTACAGGTGCTTCAAGTTGTAATCGCTCCAGACCATCTTGAGTTGCATCAGGCAGGGCGATCTCATGACATCAATCAACTTGAAGAAGGTCCCCATTCATCCAGCGCATCGGTACCTCAATCTCACCATTTGCACCTTCGAACGGCACGGCTTTTCCGTCAACCAGGAGAAAAGTCACCTGACTCGAACCTCCAGAATTCAACATCTGGACACGGTGACCGACTCAAACATTTGCAAAGTCTTCCTCATGCAGCAACAAACGAACAGCATAACTTCCCTTGTGCGACGCATCAGGACGTTCAGGTCAGCCTCCATCGTGACTCTATCCAAGCTGCTGGGGAAGCTGGTCTCGTGCATTGCAGTAGTCCCTGGGCTCGAATACACGCATGGGAGCTCCAGTGGTTCTTGCTCCCGGTTCAACAATGCAAGGCCAGCAATTCCAAGAGGATAGTGAACGTCCCTCCGAGAATCATCACATCGCTCAGGTGGTGGCAGTCGCTGGCTCTGCAAAGAGGCTCCCTGTTCAAGGATGCAGAGTGCCTTGTCATAATGATGGATGCCAGCCTGTACGGCTGGGGTATCCATCTTCAGACTCACGTGACACAGGGCAGATGGTCGCCAGTGGAGCTCTCCCACAATATAAATTGTCTGGAGCTCAGGGCAGCCAGGCTGGTGCTTCGCTACTTCCCCCAGAATGTCGAAGGCACACACGACCTAATACTGACGGAGAACATTTCCACCAAGGCGTACATAAACCATCAGGGCGGCACTCAATCGAAGGCCCTAACGTTGGAGACACAGGCTCTCGGGCATTGGGCCAAATGCCACCTCGGGTCACTGAAGACGGATCACATCTCGGGGGAGGAGAACATAACTGCAGACTGGCTGAGAAGAACATGATCAGCAACTTGGAATAGCGACTTCATCAGTCTCTCTTTCACCTACTGTCCGAGAGTTTCGGCCTTCTGGCAATAGATGTGTTCGCCAGTCCATTGAACATGCAGCTCCCTCGGTTCTTTTCACGATTCCAGTGCCCCGGAGAGGAAGGGGCGGATGTCCTCTGATGCCACTGGCCTTCAGGTCTTCATTACGCCTTCCCACCTCTCAACCTTATTCCCCAGGTGATCAAGAAGATCCTGTTGGAAGGTGCCGAAATGCTGCTTGTTGCACCCCACTGGCCGAGACGATCCTGGTTTGCCGACCTTGTTGACCTATCAGCGACCAAATGCTGGTGCATTCCTCAGGAGCAGATCTCCCTCAGCCAGAGGGCCATTCAGCACCCGGACTCTCAGTGGCTCCAGTTGGCCGTCTGGCACTTGAGGGGGACCTCCTGAGGCAAGACAATTTCTCAGACAAGGTCATCTGCACCATCCAGGCATACAGACGTCCCTCCACAGTGCACATCTATGATGCTACTTGGACTGCCTTTTCATCCTGGTGTCTGCCGTGTCAAATTGTCGCCACTGCAGCAACTATTCCACAAATTCTTGACTTTCTTCAGGGCAGATTGGACAAGGGTCTTGCCCTCAACACCCTTCAGAAGCAGACGGCCGCTTTGGCCACCATCTTGTCAGAGACCATTCTACACCACTCAGCAGACATCCCAGGGTTCGCAGCTTCGTGAAGGGAGCTACCAACTTATGTCCCCCGACAGTCCACCAGTACCCGACTTGGGACCTGGCAGTTGTTCTGCAGACATTGACCTCAGCTCCATTCGAATCACTTCATTCCATCACCTTGCGCCATTTATCATTTAAGACTGCCTTTCTAATTGAAATCACTTCGGCTCGCTGAATCTCTGAACTGGCAGCCCTATTGGTCAGGGAGGACCTCTGTGTTGTGCATCTGGACAGGGTCATTCTTCGTCTTGACCCTTCCTCCCTCCCAAAAGTTAACACTTTGTTTCACAGGATGCAGGAGGTGATTCTCCCTGACTTTTTCCCGCATCCCAGACATCCCAGGGAGTGGCTTTGGCACAAGCTGGATGTTCAACGGGAAATACACATATACAGAAAGAGGACAGCCTCTTTCCGCAAGTCTGAATCCTTCCTTGTTTCCTTCCAGCTAGCTTCGATGGGCAGGAAGGCTTCCTCCTCAACTATTGGACATTGGCTACGTGCCTGTATAAAGCTGGCCTACGAACATCAGGCCCGGCCGGTTCCTCCTCACATCACCGCCCATTTCACGAGGAGCAACGCAACTTCAGCTGCATGGGCAATGCAGGCGCCCATCGAGGAAATATGCAGGGCAGCGACTTGGACCTCGCCATCCCCATTTATTCGTAACTACAAATTAGATGCCTTTGCAGATGTGGAGGCTTCTTTTGGGAGGAGAGTCCTGCAACGGGTCCTGGTGGCTCCAGAACAACGAGATCTCTCTGCTTCCCACCCTGGGACTATATAGCTTGGGTATGCCCCATGCTTGAACACTCTAAGCAGCACCTAGGAGACATTGGCTTACCCGACTGGTCGTTCTCTAGGCATTGCAGGAATGTCCAACCCCACCCTGGGGTAATCTAGCGGAGCCGAGTCACCTCTCCTGATGACATAGTTAACCTTCTTACGACATCCTTCTGGACTCCATATCTTTGTTTTTCAAACTGACCTCTTAAGGGAGCAGGAAGCGTGGCTACCCTAAAGATTTAAACTCTGTCCTTGGGCAGCAAACTGAAGTTAACCCATGCTTGAACACTCCCAGAGCACCTAAAGAACGACCATTCAGGTAAGACAACGGTCATTTGCTTTTTGCTGGAAAATTAAGCCATAAATATAATAACAAGACCGCATACAAACTACTTTGTAATGCTTTTCAAAATGTAGTTCTTTGAAAACAGGAGACAGCAGATCAAATGAAGCATGCAGGATAAAGGTTGATTCTTTCACTGGAAGCTCATCTATATATGTATCATCTGCCACTTTACAATACCAAAACCTGTATTGCTTGGTGAGCTGCATTTTTATATTATGCATGTCTTCAGCTCTGATCTAACAGGAAGTGGGAATTATAAACATTTAAGCAGTTGTTTTTATGGTTTGAAGACTCCTACCTTGTTCATGTCATACATATGTACATCATATTGATCTGGAATATAGAAAATGGCATCCATGTCTTTGCAATAAGAGACATTTAATATGAAGCTTACTGTGTGGAACATCTAAACAGGTAAATGTTTTTCAGAGTATTTTGATAATTGGGAAAGACTTTAAAATGGACTTTTCCTTCGGAACACTTGGTTGGATAGCAAGTATATTTTCTGTTTCTTTCTTTTTTCATGCAGCAAGTAATTTTTTTTACTTATCTGTATTTAATTTATTATAATGCAATTCACATGATGATCAGTTTGATTGATATGAGCCATCGAGTCATTTTCAATTCCACATAGATAGATTTTCTCCATAGTGAACTGTTTGTAAACTGAGCTTTCAGATCTTCAAACATTGTTCCTGTTGTCACTTTAACTGAGTCCATCCACTAGGCTACTCTTCATTTTCTTCTCTTTCCTTCCTGCTTTCTCATCATTAGAATCATTTCAGGAGAGTTTGATCTTTGCATAATGAGTCTAAAATAGGAAAGTTTGAGTCTGGTCATTTGTGTCTCAAGTGAGAACTCTGGTCGATTTGTTTCATGATCCATTGGTTTGTTTTCTTGGCTGTCCACAGTATTCTCAGGAGTCTTCTCTAATACCAAAAAATCCAAAATGTACTGTACTATATATCTACAGCATATTTGGGACTTTAAAAAATAAATTTAAAAAATTGGGACTTGCTTTAAAACATTGATCAAGACTTTGTGTGTATCTGTTCTATATTTTAAATGTGTAATTAAAGATCAGAACCTGAAATTCCAATGCGATAATTCTACACAATTAATTTACATATTGAAATATACTGCTTTGTTTAAAAACTATAGTATTTGTGTTACTTTTATTTCTGTTCAGTATTTCTTGAACAAAATGTCAGATATTGAAAACTATTTGTGCAACCGTTATAGTTCATAATGAACAGTGATGAACAATGTTTTCTATTGTTGGCAAACCAGATTAAGACTACTTTCGGTTTTCCAAATAATGCAATGAAATATGCAGTCATCACATCCTTGCTTTTTGATGTAATAAATGTTTACCTCCTTAAACATCTCCTGATGGTATGCCAAAAGTTCCAAGATTCTTCCCAGTGTTATGATTCTGCCTGGATGAGTGACCTTCCAAGGTGACCAGACTAATGTACTTCTCATATTTCAATCCAGAGCTAGCTAAATATTGAATCTAGCAGAAGATGAGCACAGCATAGGACTTATTTTATGTATTTAGTTATTAACGTAATTTCTATACTGTTCCAATCTCATCACGGTATATTTCCGAGAATCTCAAAACAGAATTTTAAAATATAAGCAGTACAAAAGAAATTATAATCTTCTTCTGAATTCAACAGCCTAAGGCAGGTCTACTAGAAAATTAAAGTCCTTTGTGGCAGTGCATTTGTTGGGCGCTATGTGCTTCTGGCTATGCTTTAACTATGGTCAGTATCTAACTTTATTTTAACGTATACTGAAATTTCATCATGTCTTTGTATCAATTGACCAGAAATTCTGGGGAGATCATTTGTGCATTGAAGTAATATAAAAATAGGTAAAGCTGATGGTAGTGTATTTAATGTTGATATATCTATATTAACAACCACAATTGGGACCAGAATTTCCATTACTAAATAATGTAGTTGTAAAGTGTGATATCACATGAACACATTGTTCTGCCCCGGGCAATGAGGTTCTGCTCGGGCAGCCAGTTAATTCCACGCTTGGGAATATTTTTCAGATCAAGTTTATTGT